AGTAGTTAGTAAACAGTTGATTGACAGTTGAGAGGCGGGCCGAAAGAGCAAAGCTCAACCCCCGTAAAAACACAACTAGTAGTAAACACACACACACACACACACACACACACACACACACACACACACACACACACACACACACACACACACACACACACACACACACACACACACACACACACACACTGGAAATTTGGAAAGCAGCTAACGTAGTCCCGATATACAAGAAAGGGGATAGACAGGAGGCACTGAATTACAGGCCAGTGTCCCTAACCTGCATACCATGCAAGCTGATGGAGAAGATTGTGCGAAGAAAGCTAGTGGAGCACCTGGAGCGAAAGAACTTTGTAACACAGCACCAACATGGATTCAGGGATGGCAGGTCCTGCCTCACAGGGTTACTTGAATTCTACGACCAGGCAACAAAATTAAGGCAAGAAAGAGAAGGGTGGGCAGACTGCATATTTTTGGATTGTCAGAAAGCCTTTGATACAGTGCCACACAAGAAGCTAGTGCGAAAGTTGGAGATGCAGGCTGGAGTGAAAGGGAAGGTACTCCGGTGGCTAGAGGAGTACCTAAGCAACAGGAGACAACGAGTCTGTGTGAGGAGTGAGGTCTCAGATTGGCGAGACGTTACAAGTGGAGTCCCGCAGGGGTCAGTCCTTGGACCTATACTGTTTCTGGTATATGTAAATGATCTCCCAGAGGATATAGATTCGTTCCTCTCAATGTTTGCCGACGATGCAAAAATTATGAGGAGGATTGAAACAGAGGATGATAGTAGGAGGCTACAAGATGACCTAGATAGACTGAATGAATGGTCCAACAAATGGCTGTTGAAGTTCAACCCGAGTAAATGCAAAGTAATGAAACTAGGCAGTGGAAACAGGAGGCCAGACACAGGATACAGAATAGGAGATGAAGTACTTAATGAAACAGACAGAGAGAAAGATCTAGGAGTTGATATCACACCAAACCTGTCTCCCGAAGCCCACATAAAGAGAATAACGTCTGCGGCATATGCGAGGCTGGCTAACATCAGAACGGCGTTCAGGAACCTGTGTAAGGAATCATTCAGAATCTTGTACACCACATATGTAAGACCAATCCTGGAGTATGCGGCCCCAGCATGGAGCCCGTACCTTGTCAAGCACAAGACGAAGGTGGAAAAAGTCCAAAGGTATGCTACTAGACTAGTCCCAGAAGTAAGAGGCATGAGTTATGAGGAAAGGCTGCGGGAAACGCACCTTACGACACTGGAAGAAGGAAGAGTAAGGGGGGACATGATCACAACCTACAAAATCCTCAGAGGAATCGACCGGGTAAACAAGGATGAACTATTCAACACTGGAGGGACGCGAACAAGGGGACACAGGTGGAAGCTGAGTACCCAAATGAGCCACAAAGACATTAGAAAGAACTTTTTCAGTATCAGAGTAGTTAGTAAATGGAATGCACTAGGAAGTGATGTGGTGGAGGCTGACTCCATACACAGTTTCAAATGTAGATATGATAGAGCCCAGTAGGCTCAGGAATCTGTACACCAGTTGATTGACAGTTGAGAGGCGGGACCAAAGAGCCAAAGCTCAACCCCCGCAAGCACAAATAGGTGAGTACAAATCGTCATTTCCTCTCATCCTTGTGGGTTCTCTGACATGCTGGGTTAAGAAGTTTCTAGTCACCACCTCCAGTAGTTTGGCTCTCCACGTATCCTCGCCTCCATGCGGTTCCTTGTTCTCCCAGTCAATCCTTCCGTGATTGAAGTCCCCCATGATGAGCAGGTGGGATCTATTTCTACAGGCAACAGAGACTTCCCTCTCAATTATAGTGTTAACTGCCATGTTGTTGTTTTCATACTCTTGACTGGGTCTTCTGTCATTTGGTGGAGGGTTGTATATTACTGCTACTACTATTCTTGGTCCTCCCATTGTTATGGTGCCTGCTATGTAGTCTCTGAACTCCTCACAGCCCGGGATGGCCATCTCCTTAAAATTCCATTCCTTTCTCATGAGTAGGGCCACTCCGCCTCCTCCCCTACCTTCCCTCTCTTTCCTTATTACTGTGTACTCCTGGAGAAACACGGCATTCGTTATGATTCCTGAGAGTTTTGTTTCAGTTTAGAGTTTGAGAGTTTTTGTTTTGTGCGTGTGTATGTGTATATGTGTGCGCTTGTGTGTGCAATGTCTTAAGCCCACCAAGAGAAATGTATGCCATAGCTTACCGCCAAGAGAGAAGAATGCCGTAGCCTTGAACCCCAAGAGAAGGGATTACCGCGAGATTATCCATAACCAGCGAAATAAATCTGCAATCACCAAGAGGGTTTTAATCCCACCATATCCCACAGCTTGCAGATGCGGCTTCGAAGAACACAGGTTTTAGAAGAGATTGGAACTCCTTTAGAAGTGATTTAGAACTCCTTTAGAAGAGATTTAGAACTCCTTTAGAAGAGATTGGCCACCAGATGGCTCTCTGTGCGAGAATAGTGCGCTGTCATCACAACATTGTTGATCCAATATCAGTCGTTCAAGTCGAAGTCTGGTGTCTATATATATATTTATATATATATCCAATAGGTGTGTTTCCGGTCGCCTAGCAAAATAGCTTTCGAAGGAGCATCATATTTTTATCTCATCTTCATCTAGCCTTGACCTGGCATCGTATCATTTCTCCTCGCTCCGACCTTACCTACACCTGGTAATATCTCATTTCCCTTCAATTTGACTCTTCCTTCTCCTAAAATGTATGCAAAATATAACATATTTATATCCCGTAACGTGGTGTGTAAGTACAATACACACACACACACACACACACACACACACACACACACACACACACACACACACACACACACACACACACACACACACACACACACACACACACACACACACACACACACACACACACACACACACACACACACAGGTGAGCACAGGTTTTATTAGGTGAGTACACACACATATATATATATATATATATATATATATATATATATATATATATATATATATATATATATATATATATATATATATATATATATATACACTGGCAAATAGGACCTAAGGGAAACCGAGACATCAAAGACATCCTTCGCTAGGGCCTCGGGTAAGGTCCCACGGGGACGCCGCCCCCCCCCCACTGGCTAATGCTATCATAACTCACAGTAAAAATAAATTCTCTGCTAAGTCAAGAAATTTCCGAGAAAGCTGCTCTAAGGCATGCAAATGATATCATCATTTTGTCGTAATCTTACGGAAAATTCTCTTGCTCTGTCCTTAACAAACCCTGACGCAAGCAAATTGTCGTAAAGAAACTGAGACGTAAGCAATCTAGAAACATTTATAGTACCTAACCAGTCGTTGACTGCACTGCAGACAGTTACATATAAAGAATATGGAATAAATTGTGTATTTCTAACAATTTGTATCATTTTGTATTTGGTTATTTCATGAGCTTTATTGGCAACAACATTACTAGTTACAATTATCATTGCGTTGTCATTCTCGGTGTATTTTGTCGCGATACAGTCTGTATGAATATAAGATACAGTTAGTATGAATGTTAGGAAATATTTGGGGTTTTAATCACTGCTTGAACTTTTGTACCTGTGAAACTCATGCTAACTTATGTGGATGAGTATATGCCCACTTATGTGGATGAGTATATGTCCACTTATGTGGATGAGTATATGCCCACTTATGTGGATGAGTATATGCTCACTTATGTGGATGAGTATATGCTCACTTATGGGGATGAGTATATGACCACTTATGTGGATGAGTATATGCCCACTTATGTGGATGAGAATATGTCCACTTATGTGGATGAGTATATGCTCACTTATGTGGATGAGAATATGTCCACTTATGTGGATGAGTATATGCTCACTTATGTGGATGAGAATATGTCCACTTATGTGGATGAGAATATGTCCACTTATGTGGATGAGTATATGCCCACTTATGTGGATGAGTATATGACCACTTATGTGGATGAGTATATGTCCACTTATGTGGATGAGTATATGCTCACTTATGGGGATGAGTATATGACCACTTATGTGGATGAGTATATGCCCACTTATGTGGATGAGAATATGCCCACTTATGTGGATGAGTATATGACCACTTATGTGGATGAGTATATGTCCACTTATGTGGATGAGTATATGCCCACTTATGTGGATGAGTATATGACAACTGATGAGAATAATCATAGTGCCGATGAAGATGAGTTAGTTGTGGTCCATTACTTTATAGTGAGTTGATGAGCTCTTGAATAATATTTTAATGAGACGTTACTCACCGCAATATTTAGCACCACACCTGCAACACCACTACCACACCTGCAACACTACCACCACCACACCTGCAACACTACCACCACATCTGCAACACTACCACCACACCTGCAACACCACTACCACACCTGCAACACTACCACCACCACACCTGCAACACTACCACCACCACACCTGCAACACCACTACCACACCTGCAACACCACCACCACACATGCAACACCACCACTACCACACCTGCAACACCATTACCACACCTGCAACACCACCACCACACCTGCAACACCACCACCACACCTGCAACACCACCACCACCACACCTGCAACACCACCACCACCACACCTGCAACACCACCATAACACCTGCAACACCACCATAACACCTGCAACACCACCACACACCTGTAACACCACCACCACACACCTGTAACACCCCCACCACACACCTGTAACACAACCATCACATACCTGTAACACCACCACCACATACCTGTAACACCTCCACCTGTAACACCACCACCTGTAACACCTGTAACACCACCCCCACCACACACCTGTAACACCACCACCACATACCTCTAACACCCCCACCTGTAACACCACCACCTGTAACACCTGTAACACCACCCCCACCACACACCTGTAACACCCCCACCACACACCTGTAACATCACCGCCACAACCAACATACCTGTACAGGCGCCCATCCAGACATCAATGGCCTTGACGTAGGAGACCTGAGGCAGCCCCGCTTGTATGCCTGTGGGAGAGAGACATTGATTATTGTCAGAGTCTGATACGATAGTACATCTTGGCTGTCCTGGCTTGGCCTGGCCTGGCCTGGCCTGGCCTGGCCTGGCCTGGCCTGGTCTAGCCTCGCCTGGTCTGGCCTGGCCTGGCCTGGTCTGGTCTGGCCTGGTCTGGTCTGGCCTGGCCTGGCCTGGTCTGGTCTGGCCTGGCCTGGCCTGGTCTGGTCTGGTCAGGCCTGGCCTGGCCTGGTCTGGTCTGGTCAGGCCTGGCCTGGCCTGGTCTGGTCTGGTCAGGCCTGGCCTGGCCTGGTCTAGCCTCGCCTGGTCTGGCCTGGCCTGGCCTGGTCTGGTCTGGTCTGGCCTGGCCTGGCCTGGCCTGGCCTGGTCTAGCCTCGCCTGGTCTGGCCTGGCCTGGCCTGGTCTGGTCTGGTCTGGCCTGGTCTGGTCTGGCCTGGCCTGGCCTGGTCTGGTCTGGCCTGGCCTGGCCTGGCCTAACCTGACCTGACCTGGACTGGCACTCTTAACTTAGCCAACTTCAACAAAAAGCGTGTGGATTAAAACATAATAAAGAGCCTCTCTGTCTCTGTCTCTCTCTCTGTGTCTCTGTTTCTCTCTCTGTGTCTCTGTCTCTCTCTCTGTGTCTCTGTCTCTCTCTCTGTGTCTCTGTCTCTGTCTCTGACTCTCTGTCTCTGTCTCTGACTCTCTCTCTCTCTCTCTCTCTCTCTCTCTCTCTCTCTCTCTCTCTCTCTCTCTCTCTCTCTCTCTCCTCGTGTCACTAAGCCGTAAATCCTCGTGGCCTCAGATTTTCTTCCTCTGCGGATAGACGAGACTTTTCCCGCAAGATTTTTGAAGGTTCAGAAAATATTTCATAAATGTCAACAGCGTCAGTTTTCGCTCAATACTTTTTTTTTGTTTCTTTTGGTCCTTTTTTTACATTTGTATTCAGCATGATTATCCGGATATGCCGTACGTGTTATTATATAGGATCCTGGTTATAAGAGTCGGGGTTTTGGGTTATTTATAGGATGAGGTTGACGGAGACGGGAAATTTGACGGAATTTGACGTCAAATATACTCATATTTGACAAATATGTATGTAAATATATATATATATATATATATATATATATATATATATATATATATATATATATAAATATATATATATATATATATATATATATATATATATATATATATATATATATATATATATATATATATATATATATATATATGTGTGTGTGTGTGAAGACTCCTGTGTGACCAAGCTAAGGGGTCAGCCACTGTATCAAGTGTTGAGCTTCAGGCATCTTGGAAATATGAAGAGGCACAGGATGGTGCATTCATATGCTTTCCCACGAGTGTCGAGAATGTGTATGTGAGTCTTTATGTGTATTCATCTTGTACTTATAAAGATTCACGTGTTATTTATTTTTTTATTTATCTATGAAGGTACATTGGGTTGAGAAAGTACATTATTCACTCATTTATCCATATCTCGCCTATGTTATCTGTGCCTGGGAATCTTTCGCCTTTAATTACCTCCGATCCCTAATTACTCAACAAAAAACAGTAATTATTACAATAAGAAATTTCAGTCCCAGACACCACTTTGCTCCCGTACTGAAATCTTTTCAACATGTTAAATATAAAAGAAATATTAGAAAGGTCTTTCATGCTGTAAACTATAACTACCTCTTATTTAAACTTTACCATTATGGAATCTGAGGTCTTGCTCTGAACTATATTGATAATATCTTAATGACAGACACCAATATGTAGCCATCTGGTCATTGCACAATTTGGGACCCTTGATTTGGATTGCATTTCTGTTATGGTTGAGTCTCTAAGAATATCAAAGAGATATTTGTTTCTCGTGTGGTGACCCTGAGTTTAAACACAGCCTTCTAGGAAGTGCTTAAGGTCAGGAGTGGCATTGCAATTCAGAGTTTTATAGATATATAGAACACTTGAGGGTATGTCCACAGATTTGATATTTAACATGTTCAAGGATTTCAGTAAGGGAGCAGAGTGGTGTCTGGGATTGGAATTTGCGATGGTTCTAATTGCTGATTTTTTGTTGAGTAACTAAGGGTCGAAGGTAATTAAGAGTGGTGGATCCTCAGGTACAGATACTATAGGTGAAATATGGATAAATGAGTAAATAATATTGAGTAACTAGGGCAAGGCGGGGAGCATAGTATCTGACTTTGGAGAGAATGTCTACTGTTTTAGAAACCTTTTAAGTAATTTTTTGTATGGGGCAACGAAAATTTTGTTTGTACGCATTGTGAACACCGAAGTACTTCCCATCTAGAATATACAAGAAGGTAATTCTTCCCACCTTGTCACACGGCTTCGAAAAATGGAAAGGGAACCAAATTATAGTTTACTCCTATAAACTCCACTGAACTCGTTAAACGAAGCATATTTGTTAACAACCAATTTTATAAATTAATGTTATGACTCGTACATTCGGGTAAAGGAAAGTTCCCATTCAATCTTCCTGTTGTGAACGGTGGGGAGATATAGTTTGTTATCAAAATTACAATACTAAGCCTTATGTTATTATGGTATAAGGACTGAAATGTCATCTTCGAGAAGTTCGCGGGCTGTCATCCTTACAGGTTGACTACAACATTGTTTAAACTGTGCCTTATGATGTAGTAGCTTCAAACTATACCAAACAAATTTGGTACATTTGTAATGCAGGTACTAATAAATACCAAAGTACAGAGTGCTTCTTACCCCGCTCTTACTGGAGGGCTAATGATCACCGCTCTAGAAATTCTCGTACACCACCACCTGGGAGTCGGCGGCTGGTCAACGTGAGCCAGCCAGTGTTTACAAGGACAAGCTGATTTATTCCCATTTAAATTAAAAGGTCGAAATATCTATTGCAATGTGATTCGAACCCATGAAGTGAGATAAGCACTTGGTCGATGTTGTGATGCCGGGCTGTGATGAAACACCTCCTGGCTGTAAATGGGTTTATTAACATAACCATTGGACACTGGAAAGGTCGTTTGGACCCCTTATAGTGAGGCGGGTGAGGCCAGTATGACGTTAATGGTGGCGAGTGATGACTGTGTTGTGATGACTGTGTATCTGAACCTCTTGTGTATCTGAACATCTTCCAAGTGTTCGGTCACACCGAGTTATGAAGACTGGATGTTGTGGTATTTAGAACACTGCGTGTTAGTTAACACTAGTGAGTGGACTAGCAGATTACAGTGTTGTGGTTTACGGTTGCCAGTAGTTTTATTACTAGTTTCGTGTCTACCAAAATTGTGAAAGTTCATTGTGAACACTCCGCCAGACACCGAGGCAGGACACGCCGCTACTAAAGGTTAACGGGACTAAATGTTAACTCTTAGAAAGTTTAGTGATTTACTGGAAATAAAAGGTGGAAATTGGCTTTTATTGCCGCGGCAAAATGACGAACTTGTTGGGTACTTTCAGTACTGGTGGTGTTTGTCGTCTCGTACTGGTGATTTAGTTCATTGTGAGTGATTCGTGAATGTTGGCAACACCGCTTTTGTTTGTGTTAGTGAGCACGTGGTGAGTAGTGTTGACGCTGACCCCCTTGTCTGACCCCACTACGGGCGGCGCTGACCCCTTGTCTGACCCCACTACGGGCGGCGCTGACCCCTTGTCTGACCCCACTACGGGCAGCGCTGACCTCACTTGTCTGACCCCATGTCTGACCCCACTACGGGCAGCGCTGACCCCTTGTCTGACCCCGCTACGGACTGCACAACCGTCCTTCAGGAGAAGGTAAGCACCACCTCGAGCCTCAAGTGTGACCCACGTCTCCGCCTCTTGCATACCAACATGGAGATGGATGTGACCATTCATATATATGTGGTATATGATTATAATGTGTATACAGTAATGTCAATAGGCACATTAATAATTACTTTTTTCCGTCATTACAGGTAAGGCTTTTTAGCTCATCGAGGGACACAACTCCACCAGCTTAAGGTATGTTCCTCTTTCCTTTTGTTTCCGATGTTTTTTCGTGTCAACAAAATATTACAGGACACGCGGTTACCATTATATAATTATGGGTAAATATAATATCTCTTTTATTGGTCCTGGGGCTCCGAGGCCTCTCTTTATTGGTCCTAGGGGCGCCGAGGCCTCTTTTTATTGGTCCTGGGGCTCCAAGGCCCCCTTTTTATTAGTCCTGGGGCTCCGAGGTCCCCCTTTTATTGCTCCTGGGGCTCCGAGGCCCCCCTTTTTATTAGTCCTGGGGCTCCGAGGTCCCCTTTTTATTGGTTTTGGGGCTCTGAGGGTCTCTTTTTATTCGTCCTGGGGCTCCGAGGGCCCTTTTTACTGGTCCTGGGGCTCCGAGGCCCCTTTTTATTGGCCCTGGGGCTCCGAGGCCCCTTTTTACTGGTCCTGTGGTTCCGAGGCCCCGTTTTTATTGGTCCTGGGGAGGGGAGGGGGGTGCAAAGGCCCACCTTTATTGGTTCTGGGGGTGCCGAGACCCCCCCCCACCTTTTATTGGTCCTGGGGGTACCGAGGTCCCTTCAGAAACAAGCCTTCATGTATTTATTTTTTCCTTTCGTTTCTGTCTCAATACCGAGGCAGCAAGCTTATTTTAGAGTCTCCCGTTGCACGTGAACAACATTTGGAAAGTTCCTTTGCCCAAGTTCATCTGATGTTTAAGCAGATGTTGGGCAACTTCAGCTATACAAACGATGTTATTTTGTTTCTGAGTATTCCCTGGAAACACAAACCATAACGGTCCCTATTTTCCGCTGTTAAAACTTTCAATAAAGTTGTTACATATTGGCTTAACGTGTTTATGACGTATTAGAACGTTGTTACAACTACAGGTGATGCTGTAGATGCTACAGGTGATGCTGTAGTTGCTACAGGTGATGCTGTAGTTGCTACAGGTGACGCTGAAGTTGCTACAGGTGATGCTGTAGATGCTACAGGTGATGCTGTAGCTGCTACAGGTGATGCTGTAGTTGCTACAGGTGATGCTGTAGTTGCT